TCTGAACATGATCTAGTGTGTTAAATCAGACAGGTTTGGAAATGACAACATCTGGTGCGAAAGACTTCTTCATCTAACAGAAAAGGAATTCTCTGATGGAAGCACTGCTCGTTTCAAGCAGATTCCCTTTTTTCCATTTGCCCAAAATTAAAACAACCAACAACTGGATTTCTGATGAAAACAAAAAAATAAATTTACAGTTAATATACAAAAAAAGCCTTTTTACTATTCAGTTACGGTGTTGTTTCTTCACAAGAGTGCAGCGCATCATCTGTTTCATACATACAGCGGCTTTTCACAAACATCTCTTTGCTGAGGAGAACAGATGTCTCTGGTTATTTAACCATGATCTCCAGGCTGCCGTGTTCCCACTCTCACTCTAAATCCCTCTCTTTATTATTATTTTTTTATTATTTTTTTTTTTTTAGTTGACTGCAAATCTCTGTGCGGTGACAAAGCATCGCCTGTCGAGTGGATGATTCCACTGAGAGGCACTTCCTGCTATGAGAGGTGCATTAATGTGATTAACCCACACTCACTATTGCCGGCTGATACAGGAGCTTTAGCAGCTCATGTCACTCTGTAATTCTTCACTGCTGACATGACCAGCAGCTAATGGAAAATATGCTGATGTGAAACAGGAAGCAGGTGAATCTGAATGTGATGGAGCGGAGAAGAAACTGCCAGCAGCAGCAGAATCTCACTGCTGCTGGAGACTCACGTCTGTTCAGCAGTTGGTCAGAAGAATCCAAGAGTAAATAACACTTTGACACAGCAGTCTGAAACAGACGAGCTGAGGGCCACTGACAAAAATCAACTGGTATTTCTGACTGTGTACTTATTGAATACTGTCAAATACAACTGTGTAACTTTCTTTTCACTTTTTTATTAAATGATAAACTAAGGTATTGTATTAAACTAAGACATTTTAAAAAATCACTTTCTTTCTGGCCAGTCACATGACACCACGTCTACTTTTTAACTCATTAAATTTAATAGCTGTTCATATTAGTTTTGGAACAGGCTGTAAGAAATTCAATCAAAGTATTAAAATACTAAGATACATAAGAACCAGTTTCATTTCCTTTCTATTAACAGTGGAATTTTTCTATCCAAAAGCAATCAAATATTTCTGTGTTGAACAGAAAGTCTTCAAAATGTCACACCACCTAATATATACAACCAGAGATTAATACAATTAACAGGTTTTAGTAATTAAAACTGGTCAAAATGATGCCATGTCTGGGAACTTTTTGACTCTATTCATTTCTTACTGTAAATACACACATTTAGAGGAGTTGATTTCTTCTTCTTGGCATCCCCTTTTTTCTGGAGACCACCGTCTGCCTGCTTGCCGTCAAGTCTGTGTTCATCCCCACCCTCTTCTGTAGTCAGCCGCCATGTCTGATTCACCGTGACCCTCCTTCACCCTGCACATAATCCATCAGACCCTCAGCCTCTCCCCTGCCCATTTACAGAGCCCAGGGAGTGGCTGTGGGACTGTGCAGGGCCTAACACCCTCTAATCTGTCGATATCATGGGGGAGGTTGGGGGGGGGGGGGGGCTAAAAGACCAAGAAAACCGTATAACCAT